GCAGCTACTGTCTGTAGAACAATTTTACTTAATTTTATCGAAGATATTAGTAAATCAGACACTCATACAAAAGTATAATTTTGAACTCTAATGGTCCATTAAAGTCCGATGCTTTATCCAGGTCCTCATCTTTGCTGACATTACAGTATATTTAAAGGCAATTTAACTGCATTCCTTGTTCTATGTCAATATAATAAATGATAATCAAAGATGTAACAAGCCAAAACACTGCATTGTTTTACTTTTTTCTTTTTAAAATAAATTGTGATGTTTCTTTTTTTTTCTTTTTTTTTTTGAGACTCAAACAAGATTGGAAAACAAATTAATTTAAGCCTTTAGCGTTTGAGCTCCAACGTTACCACAAAGTTTCATCTATAAGTAATACTAAGCTGCTCTCTGTCCAATGACATTTTTTTGGATGAGGTGTTAACATTTAAAGACTTTATGATTTTCTTTTTATTTGAATATTTGTATATTAGGCTAGTAACATGATTACATTTATGTTTGGCCTTAAGAGATTACAACTTTACCACTTGAAGAGATAAAACAACAGAACAACAACAAAACAAAACATGCATGTTTTGATAATAGCTGGTGTTTTTTTTGTTTGTTTGTTTATTTTTTTATTTTTTTATTTTTTTCAGAATAATGAGGATGTGCACAAGTTTTTCTACAAGGTTTGTAATCTACATTTACCACCTGACCAACAATTGCTGAAAACCCCAGAGATCGAGATCCGCTGGCTGAAATCTCATCTCCCAGAGGCCCAGACGACCAGAAGAAGAGTCCTATTGTATTTCCCCGTGGTTTAGTTTGAGACACTCGCTTTAAAAGCACAGAGAGAAAAGGAAGCGCATCCACTCAGATGTGTTTCTGACACATTGTGTCTCCCGCCTCCCATCGCCCTGCAGCAACCAGAGAGGCTGTGGTTTCCATCCGTCTCCGTCCTGACAAATAGGCTCCTTATAGGTGAGAGTGTCTGTCAGCTCAGGCGCAAGGCAGCCATGCTAATTGATACAAAACAAGCTGTGGCCTGAGATCATGCAGCACAAAGTTGAAAACCCACATTAAGTTTCCTCTGGATTTTTATGGTGAAATTACATGAAGGACAGAGATGATATCAAACAAGTGTCTGTGTCCAGATTTAATCTCTGAGCACTCAGCCTGCGTTCGTGTGTTTGTGTGTCAGCGGTGTTTGATTCGGCCCTGTCAGCCTCGGCTCTTCGTCCTATAATTCCCCGGTATGAGGGGTAGAGGGTCAAAGGTCACTCCTGCTTGTGGCCATGTTCAAATCCCTCCATAGTGTGCAGTATTTTCAACAGAGCTTTGGAAAATGTAGGGGGGTGGGGGGGGGGGGGGAAGGGCCTAAATACCAGCTGCATTTTCAGAAAGTGGGGACATTTTAAGATGTATGAAGCGAAATTTATGGATTACTACAAAAACAAAAGAGAGGACATTTCAAAAATGCCTTGAGCACAATAAAAAAAATACCTGAACAAACAGGAAATGTGATAATAAGGTGCAAACATGTGGGTAAGTAAGTGAGCTTCTGACTTTTAAGCAATAAGGAAGATATTATTTATTTATTTGTTTATTGTTCTCTCCTTCTTAAATACTTAAAACTGTTACCTTGCAGCTGCTATGTACATTTCTTATATAACTTCTGGAAAAATTGTTGCTTTTTAAATGTGAATATCAGATCACTGCCCGTTTTGCTGCAATTTAACAAATTGTGACTGTACTGCTAAAAAATACTGTGAAAATAACCTTACACTTTCAGTTTATTTACAAGGAGTGTGTGGGGTTTTTTTCCCCCTTGCTTTTGTTTAAATGCTCATTATTTCAAACTTAAGTAAGTTTTAGCAGGTTGTTAAAACTACGTGGGAAAAAAAAATTACACGTAGTAAGTTTGGGTTTGATTGATTACACTTGCTGATTTTTCCTGATCACTTCAAGTCTGTCCGTCACTAAAACAGGTCGTATTGGTGGCCGATTGAATTGTATAGAGGGAGTCCTCACGCCCCCGCTCAGCGTTAGGTTATTCATTTGGCTCGCTCTTGTCCATAGGAAAGCCTTTACAAATGGAGTTGAGCTCCATGACCGGGCAGAAACCCTCTGGCGCTGGTCCCCCCCCCACCCCCCCACCCCCAACTTCAACCTACCTCAGTCCATGCGGCCGAAGAAATCCCGGAGAACTGCAGCTCTCCGGGCTCCCAGGTTTTGTTTATTTGTATGCTGTTGCTTTGTTTTATTTTCATCTTTTGTTTTTAGCTCCCCCTCCTCCCCCACCCACATTAGTGCATGTACACTGGCAAGCTTCAAAATACGTCAGAGCAAAATCTTGGCATTTTGATCATGGGAAAACGATTTATTTATTTATTTATTTATTTATTTATTTATTTATTTATTTATTTATTTATTTATTTATTTATTTAAAGTATGCGCTGCTGTGATTGGAGAATAATTTGAAATATAAAATTCGAATAAATCTTTCAAATAATAATGAAAAAATAAAACTTTGCCATAAACATAAACTTCCAGCTCAACTGGCGTTTTCAACTTATTCTCTAAAAATTAAATTAAATTAAATTAAATTAAATTAAATTAAATTAAATTAAATTAAATTAAATTAAAAACAGTCGACACCCCCACTTAAAATCACATTGCTTTTACAGTGATTTGCAAGGTTTTTTGTTTTTTTGTTTTTTGTTTGTTTGTTTGTTTGTTTGTTTTTACTCTTTAAGAGTTTAAGAAAGAGAGTTTCTTAAACTCTCTTTAAGAAATAGAGAGTTGGATCCCATCTGCTGTTGTGCACACACCAGGGAGGACAACCCTCTGACCCGACCCCGGCTCTGTTCAGGGGGATGCCGGGTAAAAATGGCAGAGTCACCGCTGCCTCTCCTCCTGGACCTTCTCTCTCTCTCTCCCTCTGCTTCCTCTCGCATCACTAAACTTCAAATAATTTCACCACATTTATATATTACACATAATAATTAGAGTTAAGTTGTTGAGATTGTTGAAAAGGCGTCCGTTTATTTACTGCTGTACATTGTCACGATCACATGACCATAACCCACTATCATTTGCTACATACGTCGTCTGGAAATTGTCCGTACTCTAAAATTCCTAGAATGCTACGTGGGAACCATGGAAATGTCATGGATTGCCGCTTTAGAGTATGCTTTTCGTTGAATGGACCGAACTTCATACAATTCATTAAAAGCTCATAAATACACGCGAGCAACATGAAAAAGCAGATTGAAACGTTAAGCAAGTTTGCAAACCAAGCCGGTCTTTTTGTGCTTTTGTCTTGGGCAAATTTTGGACTGGACATGAGTCTGAACAGATCCTCCACGTGCTTAATTAAAGCAAAGACTGACCTTAAAATTCAGACTTAATCCATGCAGGACATATTTCAACCCTAGATATCGCGATTACAGAAAGCTGCACAATTTGTGTCGCAGTGTCGTAAGTGCGCTACATCTGCACGGTTCGCTAAAGTTTGCAGCTTGAGCTGTGCAGTTTTAAATCATATTTTTTATTTTATTTTATTTTATTTTATTGCACAACCACATAAGAAATCCACCGAAAGCAGTGCACTGAACAGCAAAGTGTCACCCATGATTTTTATTTTTTAATTATTATTTTTATTTTTTTGTAATTATGCTATTTATTTCTGATAAGTTGCTGTTTAGTTCACTAGACCTATAATTCAGAGGCGATTTCTCCCATGTGCATGTGATCGCGCCTGTACAAATAGAGGACTGACGGGCGAATGCTTTACAGTCGAGAGATCCCACATAAAAACGTCCTGACAGCTTTTTATCGGCCCTCATGTATTTAATTGTCTCGGAGATCAATGCAAAGTGCTGACCCCCAACGCGGGACGTGTCTGTCAGCATTAAACCTTACTTTTCCACCCCACCACCACCACCAAAAAAAAAAAAAAAAAAATACAAGCATTGAAACGAAACACCCATTTAGGAACACCGTGTTTTCCCTTCTTTTTCTTCTTTTTTTTATTTGTGAAGCCCAAGAGTGTGTTGACGCTTGTTTTGTTCCTCTTCTCTATATTCTTCCTATTGTTATTGTATAGGAGTTACAGTCTGCTGCTCCCCAATCCGCGCAGGAATTTAACCCTGAAACGCCAGAAGCAGCAGCAGCAGCAGCAGCAGCATAATGGCTTGTCTTCGCTCCCAGCATGGCCCCTGCACACTCCCCACAGCAAGCAGCCGCCTATCCGGGACCAGAAACCCTTGCACCAACCCCGGCCATCCTTACCAGGCTCGGAGTTTTCCACGCTGCAACGTGTCTTATTAATTTGAGACACGTTGCGGCGCTTTAAAAGATTTTTTTTTTTTAATCGTTGCATTGAATGGCACGGAAACAGTAGTGTGTGTAGCCCCTTCATTCGGCACTGTTACGTTGCTGCGTAAACGTGTGGGTTATTTTAGGCACGTTAATCATCTCTGCTTAAAGGAAGCACACCATATACGTGTTCGTGCTTCTGTGTGAGTGCGTGCAGGAAGTTGTTTAGCTCAGTTTTTACTGGGGTTTCCCTCTGTTTTCTGTAAATGGAGCAGACTTGCATGCACCTTATTTGCAGAGTGCTTGGTCACGTTGAAGCCTGTAATGCTTTGTTACATGTTAGTCCTCACACACCAAGGCAGGGAATCCTCTCAACTTCCAAGGAGACAGCGTTAAGCATTTGTAAAACATTTGACCAGAATTGTATTTTTAAACAGAGTAAGTCGTGATTTTCTGCGCCCCCGCCCCAACCCCCCCGACCCTCCTCGGGACATAAGTGTTGTTTAATTGAGGGATCCCTAAAAATCGCTCATATTAGCGTCATTTGGAAGGTTGTGCGCGTTTTATGACAAGGTAATTCAAGAGAAAAAGCTCACAGCTGTAATCGCCCATAAAATGCCAGCGTTAAGAAAAGTGGAGCGTGTTCATCCTAAAGGAACTACTAAATACAAACGAAGAAGAAGGAGGCACGCTGATGATCACACTCAGTCCCGTTTAATGAAGGTTCCATAATTAACAGACAAACCAACCAACCAACCAACCAACAAACAAACAAAAAAGAATAGAAAGGGAAAGTGCTTCAGAAAACCACAGTTCAAGTTTCCATTTCGAGTGCAGTTGTTCTGTATTCACAACAAAGAATCAATGTACAAGAAAATTCCCGTCCTCCCATAAAAAATTCACAAAAATAAATATTCAGTTTCATATAATATATAAACAGCCAGTGACTTCGAAAAAATTCCGCGTCAAAAACACCTGACCTCAAGTATTGTAATATGTCAAACCAGCTGAATGGGTGAGGAGGGCATGGATGTAGCTCCTCACACACACACACACACACACGCACGCACACACACGCACGCACGCACGCGCACACACACACACACACACACACACACACACACACACACACACACACACACACACACACACTTGTTTACGTTGATAGGGTCTCTGTCAGGTAACTCCCCTCCCCAGAAAACCACCACTTATGCCCGTCAGCCGTGGTTTGTGCGTGGAAATAGGCTGCCGCTTTGCGTTGCGAATGGATTCCGCTCCTTCCTGCGCCGTGCAGCCTATATGTGCTTGTAACAAAGCTACACCTCCCTCCGTTTTACTGCTGCAGTCATGCCCGTGTAGAATAACATATAACGATGTAGTATAGGACAAGCCTGTGTCACACAGAGTCAAAGACAGACTGAGAACATCAAAAAGTTCAAGTTTTAGTTGTAGTAGCTCCAGCCTCGGACATAAGGCCTATGGTGAGTTGTGTGTGTGTGTGTGTGTGTGTGTGTGTGTGTGTGTGTGTGTGTGTGTGTGTGTCACTGACATCTACAATATGTATCCACAAGTTATTTTAAACGCACTTTTTTTTTACACTTCTCTGTCTTTCTCCTTTTTCTTTCCTCCTTCCTTTTCTTTTCTCTTTTTGATTTTTTTTTAAACAATCATTCTACAAGTGAATGCCCCCCTCACAGCCCACATCCTCCCCTTCCCTGTGTGCTTGTGAGGAGGGCTGACATCATTCACGGGCTTTGGGGTTTGTTGTGATCTGCCTCGCCATATAAGCTGCTGGGGCCTCTCTTTTGTGGCGGGACAGAAAAGCATGCCAATTAGCAGAGCGCGTCCTGCAACTGCCACGAACACCGTGGACACATTCACTTACAAAAACAATGCCTACATGTCGGTGCAAACTTAAGCCCCTCTTCATTTAAAGGTATGTACACACACTGTACGGGGCTACATGGAGCATGTCAGAGCGGCCATGTTCAGAAAGGCTACATTCAGGATGCATTTTACAAATAAAGAAAGCAACATTTCACAAAACCTAGAACTGTGTGTGTGTTGTTTTTTGTTTGTTTGTTTGTTTGTTTTTTAGGGGAGGGGTTATCAATTCCTCGGCTGTATCTTTTCTTAAAAAAAAATATTAAAAACAGGACATTATTAGGAAATTAAAGACAGGATAATATATATATATATAATAAACTGAATCAAATTTTGGTGAGCGAACACCCAGCAACAAAATCCATTCGTAATTTTGCAAATTTTGTCTCCAGAAGCACACACAATCAAATAAGTTCCCCTAAATAAACAGGTATGATTTTGATTTTTTTTTTTTTTTTATAATTATCATTTTCTCCTTTAAGCGTTAGTCCTAAATATACAGCTGAAACATGACGCAAAACGGCGTAGAAGTGCCACACTTTCAAACCTTTCCCTTGTGCTTCGTCGCATTGTTTCTAACCGGAATGATTACAAGGTGTACCACTGTTAACCCACTTTGGACGTCCTTGCGTTCCCCTCCCATTATGTACTACATGAAATACACTAGACGCACCCAGCCTGACCCAAAGGTCTTGTGTATGCCAGATGGACTCGGGAGTGACTTGAATATGGTATTATCCTGGGACCTTTTCTTGGAGGGCGGAAGGTGGGAGTCCACGAATGTTCTTATTTTTGATTGTCTGATTACATAAGGCTTGTTCTGCATCTCGGGCCCTTTGTTTATAGTGTCACACGTTTGCAAACTTCTGACAAATAACTGAAAATCTCAAGCACCCCAAGATAAAGTCCACAAGAATACATTTGTTTTGAACAACAAAAATCAAATAAAATTAAATTAAAATTAAAATAATAGTCAAGTTTGTTTTTTGTTTTTTTTTCACAGTTCACGTGGACTATTTTGGCCATCATAAAGACATAGAAAGAAAAACACAGCGCTGATTTATTAGAAAACATACCAGGTGGCACATAATTGGAAACCCTGATATTTTGTCTCTTCTTTATTTACAACGTGAAACAGTCCCTGCGGTTGTCTCATCCAAAAGATTCTTGGATAATTGTTATTGTTTTTAAAATTCCCCTTTATGTTTTTTTTTGTTTGTTTTTTTGTTTGTTTTTTTAGACAAAGAACAACCCCAGTGAAACCCTGCTACCAGACAATCCAACAGGTCGAGCAAACCAGGAAAACCGACAAAGAAGGTTACGCGAACAAAAAAAGATAGGGGAGCAAAACATATTGCTTAGATTGAATAGCTTATTTTCAAAGGAGGTTTTCGGGCATTAATCCACGAGATGTGTCTCACAGTCCTGTGGAGGCTTCAAGTGGGATCTTGTGGCTTTTCTTCAGGGAAGTGAGGGTGGGGTTGTTGAGGGGGGAGAATAAAAACGGAATGTAAATCCCAGATAAGGAAAAAAAAAAGTTTGAAAAATAAAACAAACAAAGGCAAAAGGGGTGAGCGATCACCTTAAGACACAGGGTACGTGGAAATGGACATAGTTGGGACTTTTAGTTTTGTCTCAGCTCAGTATTTCCTCGTTCTCTGAGTGTGCAGTGGGGGAGGGAGAATCTGGCCGCCTGGCTGCCACCTCCACACGGGGTGGGACGGAGGAGGAGGCCCGGCTCCCCTCAGTGAGCTCAGTGAGTAAGCAGGGCACAAATCCCCGTTGCTGTCAACGACGAGCGACGGCGGGGAAGGGAAATTTGCCATCAGGCTGAAAGGCGTTTTTGCTGGAGAAGCCGCTGCTACTGCGGCTGCTGCTGCTAAGCTGCTGGCGGTGCTGCGTTTGCGTCTGCTCCGTAAATCCTCCGTGGTGGAGGAGGACGAAGAAGATGAGGAGCAGGAAGAGGAAGAGGGAGCCTCGTTGACTCTAGGCACGTTTTGTTTTGTGTGCGTCCGGGAAATTCGGGGCTTCTTTGCCTCCCGCCCCGGAGCCCTGCAGGTTTTGTTTCTCTGCTCCCCCTCCTCTACGCTGGGGGCGTCCTGGCTACTCCTGCATTCCTGAGGACCGCAGGGGAACCTGGGGGCCACGTCGGGGCTTTTCTCCGCGGCTTTAATCCCGCTGCTGGAAAAGCCTCCATGTTTGATGGCTCCGCTGAGATCTGCCTTATCTCCTTTACATTTGACCACAGCGGCCTGGCTCTGCAGGTATTCATATTCATCGCAGCTTTCCTCCACTTTTATTTTCACATTGCTGAGATTGAAGGCTGTCCTGCCGCTGTCGGGGTAGGGGGACGCGTTTGCGTGGGGCTCCTCGGACTCGGTCTTTATTCTTTTCGGCGGGGTGCTCGGTTTCAGCTTCTCCCCCTTGTCGACGCATTTTTGGAGCTTGCTGGGGTCAGCGTGTGCGCTGAACCCCCGGGACCTGAATGAGGCCGGGAGAGAGGCCTTGTTCGGGTCGAGCCCCGGGGAGTAAGGGACCGGCTCCTCTTCAGTCCTGTTTGGGTCACATTCAAACGCTTTTTCTTTTGCGGGCTCGGTGAAAATGCTCCCGTTAGCCACCGGGTTTAACTGTAAAGAGTCCTTTCGTGGTTCACCAAAGTAACATTTTTGATGTTTGTCCTGCCTGCTGTCGCCATGACTCAGCGTCTTGTGCTGCTGGTTGTTGTAGTGAAAGGTGGGCTGCAGGACCAAAGGTGCTTTCCCGGTGTGCAGACCCACCCGTGCACGTCTGAACCGGATGCTTTGGACCGAAACTCGGCTTGAAACGGAGCTCGAGTCGGACTGAGTGGAACTCTCCTCATCTTCGTCGGAGCTGACCTCTGAGCTTTCCGACTGAGTGTCGTCTTCCTCCTCTTCCTCCTCCGAGCTGCTGCTGCTGGTGCTGGAGAACCCGGAGCCGAAGTCCGAGTCCTGGCACTGTGGGTCCGAGTATGTGCTGCAGGATTCGGTGTCGCTGCTGTAGTTCTCCGCGAAGCCGGGCTCGTTGTTGTTGTTGTTGCTGCTGCTGCTGTTGTTGTGGTGGTGGTGGTGGTGGTGATGGTGGTGGTGGTGGTGGTGATGGTGGTGAGGTCGCGGGTCCAGATAGAAATCCGGAGTGAGATGGAAAGCACCGAAAGAAGCTCCAGAGGATTTGGGCTGGACTAGCAGCACCGGCGGCGCGTGCAGATGCACGTGTTTGCTCCTGCCGCCCCCCTCGCGCCTCCTCTTCCTTTTGTGGAGCGAGTCGCCGGCTGAGCGCGAGAGCCTGGACTGAGCTGCTGCGGCGGCGGACTGAAACAAGACCGGCTGCCGGAAAAACGCGTGCCTTTGGCTCACAGCAAATCTGTTCCCTGTAAATTTCTCAGTTTCATAGTTTTTGACGTGTTTGTGGCTGGATTTAGTCGTCCAACGGCAATCCCGTCCGTGGGCTTTGTGGTAAAATTGAGGTAGTTTGGCGTCGGTAAGGCAAGAAGAAGGACTCAGCTCCCTTCTCCTCCCCGTTCTGCCGTGCAGCGCGAGATTCTCTGGGACGCCGTGCAAACTGAACCAAACTTTTTCCTTCCACATCAGCTCCGCGTCCGCGCACAGGACACCCGAGGGCGCGTGCTCCTCCTCCTCGTCGTCGTCGTCGTCCGCGCGAGGGCACGCCGCTGTCGCTCTCCTCTTCTTCGCGGACTTCAACACCCGCTCCGTCTTGCAGGAGACGTACAGAGCCTCCACGTCCTCCCGCGATATAAGTGTGCACTTAGCGGCATGGAAAGCTATGGAGTTTATTGCCTTGAGCTTCCGGAGCTCCTCCAGGTCGCACTGGTGCTTCTTCACCTTCAGGTAGTCCATGCGCTTGTGCACCGTAGTCCGAGGGATGTTCTTCAGCAGGTCGGTGAAGACCTGAGACAAAGCAAACATTTGCTTGCCTTTGATGAGCAGGTATCCCAGTCTCACTCCTTGCATTTCCTCAAACCCACAAACCAGGTCTCCCATGTTTGGCGCATCAATCCATGCAGTCTCTGCTTGGACTCTGTGGATTCACCAGCAAATGGCACAGGGTCTCGGGCTCAAGGCATCCTGCATACCTTTAATCCATCCACTCTGCTGCTGCTGCGTCATGAAAATGCAAACTTTGACATGCGGAGTTTTAAATGGGGCTGTCCCTGTCTACTAGCTTGCCGACAGCATCCACCCCGGTCCGGCATGGTGAAGGAATGCGCAGGGATGCGTCCACCAAGCCGGGGGCCGCCGTTGTTACCTGCCTCCGCCCGGCTCCACTCCCCCTCTGGTCGGCAGCAGGACGAGGGGTAGGTGTGCACCACTGCCTCAGCCAGAGGGATAAAATAGCGAGAGGAGGAGAGGGAGAGAGGGAGGTATTGCGAGGGTGGGGAGGAGGGAGGGAGGAAAGAGTGAATCGGAGACAGGGGAGAAGCAGAATAAGAGCTAAAAAAGCAGCTGCTTTTCTGGCTGCTGGCTAAGACACAAATAAAAAAAAGAAAAAAAAAGCGACATGCAAAGGGAGGTGGACCAGTCTGGAGACACCTTCATCAATTAATGCTGGCGGAATGGACGCCCATTGGACGACGCTGACAGGTGATGCAATAAAAATGGATATTCCATCCCCACCCCCCTCCCACACCCTGCCATTACAGTAGTTTACAATTGTGCCCACAGTCTGCCGTTTGAGCAAATAGTGCTGTTCTAGAAGGAGCGGATGTTTCTGTAGCTATACACACACACACACACGCACTCACACACAAAACCCCTACTATTCTTTATTACAAAAATAATCAGCAACAACTCTGGAATCCGGTATAAACCGGAATGTATGATGTTGTTCCTTTTGGGTTTAAGAATAAGGTGTGATATGTGTAATATGCGCTTGCTTATAAAGTAGTTCCATCTTATGTTGGTGTATGTGTGTCGACGTGACGCAGCGCATTTTGAAAAAACAAACAAACAAACAAACAAAAAAAACATTTTATATTTATACGTTTCAATTATGCTGTCTTTTCCACGCTAGTGCAGAATGACCCACATATGCTCTAAGATTACAGGCGGGGGGTTTTAATTCTTTGACTATTTAGTTCAAAAGATGCGGATATTGCTGTACCATTTCTTATGCGTAATTACGCACGGCTTATTGAGCGAGAAGTAAATAACAAGTGCCTCTTGTAATACGTTTAAGGTGTAATTATTAAGGTAATTAAAGGAGAACATATTCAACGTTTTGCTTTGTTATTCCCTCCTTTGACACAAGCAGTGAATAGTGCAGAACAGAAATGCCAGTCAGGGTTGCTTTTCCCTTTCCACGTGTTTTATTATTATTATTATTATTATTATTATTATTATTATTATTATTATTATTATTATTTATTT